ACAGAGCGAGAAACCACCTCCTTAGAATGGCCATGCTGCAATCCTTCTCCGTTCTGCTCTTAGGATATTGGGCACGCACATGCATGCGCCTGGCTTGAGTTTGAAGCTGCTGGGTCCAGGACTACATGGGAGTCCAGTGACATAACCATTATGCCATCTGCTGGTCCCCAGGCTCATTATCTCTTAAAGGCATCACCTCCCCATACTATAAACCCCTGGATTTTTGAGGGGACACATTCAAACCATAGCACCCAAATACTCCAGCATCCACTACACAACCCTCCCGATGAAATCAACATTGATGCAACACTTGTCCAGTCCATAGACCCCATGGAGTTCAGCAGTCCTGCCGACATGTCTGCCACCGCGGCCAGGATCCCACAGGGAACGCACGGTGTGGAGTGGACATGTCTCTGCAGAGTCCAGAGAAACCACCCTCGGCCTTTTTCTGTCTTTCATGGCAGTTTTACAAAAAGCAGAGCAGCTCTATTCTGGGTCGGTCTGATGTCTCCTTGTGCTTTCTGGCAGAAATGTACAGAAACCCTGAGGTGCTCTTTTCTTCACAATGCGTTGAGACTCCGAATCCTGCTGGCCACGTGCACCTCCGCGGTCTGGTCCTGTTAGGGTCTGCCGGCTTCTGCACGTCCCCTGTGTAATTGTAAGAGCCTCACAGGAAGGTTTCTAGGACGTTCCTCCACACCTCCAGCTGTCTCCTGAGCCACCATGGAGAGCTCATGGCTGCACCCATCCTGCCGTAACTGCTAGGAGGTCGCCCTTCCCTCCCTTCACTGTAAAGAGCTTCCCTTCTCTCCTGTCATCACTCCCCATCTAGTCCTCACCCCTCCATTCATCTGCAGGAGTCTGGACCCACAGCTTCTTAATTTGCAGACAGGGTTATAATCTGCCAGCATTCGTCTTTGTTTTATTGTCCTAGGTTTAGGCCCAGGCTGGTGCAGAAGGTAGCACACTGTACTTCAGAAGGCCACATAGCCACCCTCGGTGGTTCGCCGGGTTGATGAAGACACACCAGGGACACACGTGCGTGCTCAAGATCCCAATGAGCTGGAAGACTGGGACAAGGGGCCTGCGGTGTGAGACTGCTGAGGGTCTCTCTCTCCTCTCTCGTGTGCACACCTACCGGTCATGAATGGAACATCGTTAATTGACCTAGACCCAGCCAGCAGGGCTCTTCATATTGCCCACATCCCTGGACTACACGTGATTCCTTAACCACCTTCTTCATTTCTGGCACAGCAAGATATTCCAGAACCATCTTGCACTACACTGCTCCAGCCTGAAGTCAACCGTTTCTCCAGAGAACACTTCTTTTGTTGAATAGTCACAGAAGACAAGATCTGGGAGTTAGTTGTGCTCTTTGGCACTGGGGTGCCATTGCTTCCAGACATTTTTAGCAGACAAAATTAGAAAATATATCTATGTCTATATGCACATACGCCTACAGGCATATGGACATAAATACAAAATGCATACACTGTTCTTGTATTTACCTGTACATACACATGTCAAAACTGAGTTTGTATTGGGGCCAGTAGGGTATGTGGTGGCTAAGGTGCTGGACTCCACACGGTTGACTGCGGTTCAAGTCCCAGACCTGGTGGCTTGAAATTTACATCAGGCACTTGTGTGCGTACGTGCCCAAAATCCCGAGAGGAAAATGGAGAAGGGATTGTGGCATGGCCATCCCCCCCAGGGGTGATTTCTCACTTTCCCTCTCACTGCCTCTCTGTGGTGAGCACATGCACCTTATAGCAAAAAACTTAAAACAAAAACAAAACCAACTGAGTTTGTACTAATACCTCTGACTCTCATCCATATCTCAGAGTTTCTTCCAACTTTCCCCTTTCCCTGTATGTAAGGATCTTCTCCAATGGCAGGAAGAGCCATTTCCTTACCCTCACACCAGTCAGCTGATTGAGGTTCATCACCCCCCCACTGTGTCTGCCATCTCTGTCCTGTCTCCCCTATGCCAGGAAGGAGAAGGAAGCTCTCCAGACAGCTTTTTAAAATTTTTTTATTTAAATTTATTTATTTACATTCATTCACTGTACATCATTACAGCATACAAAATGAGATTTTCCTGGTATAGCACTCCCTTGAGAACTTCTTGGAGATCCAGTCTGGTGCTGGTAAATTCTTTCAGGTTTTGTTTATCTGAGAATGTTCTTGCCTTTTCTTCCCATGCGAAGGATCATCTTGCTGGGTACAGTGTTCTTGGTTGAAATTGCTTTTTCCTTAACGTTTTGAATATATTTCCCCATTCTTTCCTCGCTTGCATTGTTTCCAATGAGAGGATATCCTTTGTAGGTAACTTGCTGTTTTTCTCTTGCCAATCTTAGTATCTTGTCTTTGTCTGTGGTTTTGGTCAATCTGGCTATAATGTGTCTTGGAGAAGATCTTGGGTTGATTCTATTTGGGGTCCTTTGTGTTTCTTGGGAGTGGATTTTTTTTTTTTTTCTTTTGGAGAGGTTTTTGCTATAGGGCTTGTGCGCTCGCCAGACAGA